CATGCATGAGAGCCTGCGATGAAGAAGCAATGATGGTTTAGGGGGTCCTTTACTATATTAATAGATCATCGCTTGTTTTCTGCCTGTGTTAAGATCCTATTGATCACTATGTGGCTCTTAATTAAGTCTCTGTCTCCTAATTACTGCTGGGCCTCATTACCTAAATGTTCCTCTGCATTGAGATTCAGAGCTTTTTATGCAGCCTATGTACTTGCACGCATGATTTGGCAAGAACCAAGTTACAAGCACAACATTGCTAGAAAGGCTTTTCCTCTCCTCTTACACAGTATCCCAGTCTGTATGATAAGCAGATCTGCTGACTGATTAGCGTCCCAGCACATACAGTATGTTGCCTGAAGCTCTGAAATAATGCCAGCTCTGTTTATATTTATTTATTGCTGAACTATACTTACACCAATGTGATTACACATTGCACATTTCAGTGATGGGATTTATGATTACTTCCAGCAGGCTGCTTTTCTTTCAGAAAGAGACAGACCGGCATTGAAATGTTTTTTTGCCATAGAAAATATAGAATGTTGCTCATTTAGCCTTACATGCTGTTGCCTTTTTTGAAGTAGACCAAGTACAGCGGGCAAAAGCTTTTTAGCCTTCAGAGGAGGAAAGGCAGTAAAAGAAAACAGGAAACTTGCAAATTCCCAGTGAATTCTCATTACGTCCCGGTATGATTTTTTAGAATCCAAGTTCAACTGTAATTTCGTGATTAAGCAAAACCAAAAGAGAGCCAGCAGGAGATTTACAAGATGATGCTAAGCAGGAGAATTCCAGATTTTCCTGGAAGCAGTTTTGTTATCCTTCAATCTAATAGCCAGTGGTGGATTTAATCTCCTCAAATTAGTCCCATGCTAATCCTTGCTAACCTCAAACAGAGGTCACTCATGTCCAATTTGAAGATGCATAAAGAACAGTTTGTAATTGCATGTTTCAGGCCCACAGCTTGATGCTTGGTGATGAGTAATTCTCTTGCATGCTCTCTTCTCTGTGCATAGGATTCAAAATGTCTGCCTACAGTGCATACATCCACCAGACAGCTCGCAGTTGTATAAGCAAAAACTCTTCGTGCCATACCTTGTGGGCAACATTGATTTGAATTTTAATCCCTGCAGTATTATGTATCAGCATGCTGCTTTACCTGCAAAGTTTCAAAATGTTCTCTGCTCTGTTCTAACAACCCATCAAAAGGATGCGGAAAGACCAAGTGCATGAGCGACCTACTGGCTTGACAGAGCTAGCGTGTGACTTTCTATCACTATCATATCAAAACTTGGCTGTTTTTCTCCAATGTATTACAGGATTATGCTGACCTATGCCCTAATTCCCAGTCAAATTTGAGCTTGATGCATTTAATTCCAAGCCTATATTTTGCCAAAGCCAAACAAGAGCATTGGATATGCTTTTGGCTCTGTGTCAGCTCTACCTTTCCTGTGCACGAGGTTTATGAAAACGTTATAGTTGCTCAAAATGAACTCGGATCTGTCATATGACAGATTTGAGTCTAAATTTGGTTTCAAATGTTTATCTCAGAGCGATTCACTGCCACCGAACTGCAAAAACTGTCTTAAACCACAGAATAAACTTTATATTAATGTTGCTATTGGAGCAACATTTTTCAAACATTTTACATTCAGTTAAATTTTATTTATATAGTGCCAAATCAGAACTTTAGATTGTAAGGTAAAGACCCTACAATAATGGAGGGAAAACATGAACAATCAGAGGACACCTTATGAGCAGCCACTTGGCGGAAGTGGGGAAAAAAAACCTCTCTTTTAACAGGAAAAAACCTCTAGCAGGGCAAGACACAAACAAAATAGAAATAAATGGCCAGTACTGAAAACAAACCTACACTATAGGCTTCGAGTCTTTGTGAAAACAGACTTATCTCTTAAATGGCAGACACTGAGCCTTGAGCTAAAAATCTGTAACCACTCTGCACTGGCTGATTTATCAAAATTAAGAAGAAATTATGACTTTTTAAATGCTGGTCTGACAAAAGTTGAAGCATTTTTAAAGAGTTTAGTAAAAGGATCAATTTGCTTCTTGCCACAATGATAAACGATTGCATAGTACATTTTATAACTCGTGCCATACAGTAAAGTCCTCAGCAGTAGTCACTTTTTTATTTATTTGACCAGCTGTTCAGCTGTTGTCAGAACTCTGTTACTTTTATTTTTAGATCTAGATTGATTTCCCTTACAGTAAACGTTGAACAGAACACAGGCATATATTAATCATTCCTCTCCATCAGCGGGATGCTCAGACACACTGCTGACTGCACGAAACAGAACGTTGCTGATGGGTGATCGAGTAGGTGCATATTAGCAAATTGAAGCGCATGGTTCTTAGCTGTGACACATATCCTGAGCAAGGGGCCAGCTGTGTGCTACATGAAAGCTTTGCAAGTTGTGTGTTTTCTTTGTCTGCTTGAGTCAAACAGACGTACGTTCGGACCTACACTCTCCGCATTCCTTCCTTTGCCCAATTTGATACAATTCATGTTTTCTTAGAAGCCTTACAGTGAGATGAAACAACAGATTACCACAAAAAAAAGAAAGAAAGAGGCTGTCCAACACAGTTAATTCTCAAAAGAGAAGTTGGATGATCGAGTATGTGCAAATGCTTTAATTATGAGAAACACTCTGTAAAGGCAATATGGAGACATTGTGCTTGTATTAGCAGAGTGCGCTTCAGTGAACCATCTCACACAGTTCAAATTTATCCTTACATATCTGCACATCACAGTGAAGGTTATCCTTTGTAAGCTGGTGACCTGACCAGCGATCTACACCTGCAGCCTCTTCTTTAAAACCCTATTTGAAAAAAACAAAACAAAAAAACCCCACTCCTGCCTTGTGGCTACCTCCTGCTGCTTGCAGGCTTTTCAAAGTGATGCCGCTGCAATGCAAACCCAAATAAACTCCACATTGTGTTAATGAGCATCTACATCATTTCCTCTCTGGCCTCTCTGACTCAGCATGACCCAAAGGTCACAGAGGCTTCCCAGCAAAGTGAGACGGTCCCTGGGAATTTGTGAGACCTCCCTGTAACCCTCGTGCGTCATAGAAATGTACCCAAAAAACTTCATCCTTATTTTTCACTCTTTTGCTTATGTATTAACTGAAAAAAGAAAGTGGAGACAGAGTGATCAGCCTTTTCCTATTTCTGCCTATGAGTCATTTGCAATTCAAACAGAGCCCACTACTTCCTGTTTTCTAGTCTTGTTGCAATCCTTCAGGAGCATGCACCTCCAGAAATAGATACCTTTATCACTTCACGGCTACCTTATGCTCTGTCGCTTTCCTTATTATGTCATCAGGCTATATGTAAATATGCATGCGCACATAACAGAGGGAGAGCGAATTCTGCTAAAATAAGAGTACGGATATAGGCAGCAGAAGAGACACTGGGTGCACTGAGACAGCCGTCCTGTAAGCTAGTGGCTAATTTTAGCCTTTCATGGCAGTGCACTATATCTCCCCATGGATGAGTTGAACCATAGAGGGATCTGAGCACCAGCTCAGCCTCTTGTTCTCTCCTCTGTTCTGTGTGCGGACACTGTCCTTTATTCAGAAAGGTTACAGGGCACTCACAATAGACCGGGGTGGAGAGAGGAAGATTAAAAGAGCCTCTAAAACACCTGGGGTTTGGTGGTGGTGGGGGTTTAACAGATGATTTTGCATACAAATGGCAAAACTGGTGCATATCAGCACAGCCTGAAGTCCATGCTCTTGCAGATCTTATTTGGGCTTATTTGGAACTAAATTATATGCAGTAGTAGTAGTGTTTTTGTTAGTGTTTAGGTGCACACAAGGACAGAAAAAGACCATAAATGACCAAGGTTTTAGATATAGAGATAAAGATACTGGTGTGTGTTGTACATATATGTTTACTTACCTGAAAATCCTTGATTTCTTGTATTATATACAAATGTAAACATTTGTCAGTAAAAGGAAACCCCAAAAACAAAAAGTTCATCAGTTCTCATTTAAAAAACAAAAGCGAAGCGACTAAATTGCGTTTATATGTATAATAGGTAGAACAGGTAATGTATGGGGAATGGAAAGACATGAACTTAAAATAGATGGTAATTACCTGAAATGTCTCAATTCAACAAACTGGCGAATGGGGCAGGTTTATTATGCAAAACGAACCAGGGGGCTGGCGGGAGGAGAGATTGAGCTTCGGTGTGAGGAAGATTATGGAATAACTAACCTGGAAATAAGTAATGGGTTTCTGATGCTAATGAGAAACTCTGAATTAAAGCCACAGCCAACCAGGCGTGAGTCAATTCTCTTCGGCCAGATCCGACGTAAATGAAACCGCTTTGCGCCGCAGACATGCTTACTCACCCCGCTGATGACTTTCTATTCTGAAACTTTCGGGCTCTGATTAAACAGCCACACCAGCACCGACACCTTTTCCAGCTCACAGCATTGAAACACACTTACGGGCTAATTATTCCAGAAGTTTGCACTTCCCCTCATCATTCACTTCACTTGCTCTGTGCTACCTACTCTAGCTCTATGTGTCTCCTCTACTGGTCAGGTTATTGTTTTTGGAAAGCAGCCGTGTTCAGTTATGAGCAGCTCAACATCTGTGAGTGCAGAGATACATGCGCACACACGCGTGCAGGCACACACAGACGCTGAGGCACCCAAACACTTTGGAGGACAGACAGGCACACTGTGCCCTCAGCTTCAAAGGTGACTTTGTACTTTTGTGAGCGTTTTAAGTGTTTTTAATCTTTTTTTTTAATCTTTTTGTGTCCCTGAAATACCAGTGCATCCAACGTTTGAGACTCTTACAGATCTAAATCTGGGCCGCTGTGTCTGTGTTGCTTACTGAAGTTTATATTTCTTCATAATGCCGTGCTTGCATTTGGCTTACGAATGTCAGAATTTGAATAAATGCTTTCGCACAACCAAGCAGATGCTGATGAGGTCTCTATCTCTCCCTTCTTCTGTCTTTCTCTTTGGCAGATTTTCCATATGACCTATGACCTGGCTAGTGCAGTGGTAAGAATATTTAATTTGATAGGTATGATGCTGCTTCTGTGTCACTGGGATGGCTGTCTGCAGTATCTGGTGCCTCTGCTCCAAGACTTCCCCCCTGACTGCTGGGTGTCCCTAAACGGTATGGTTGTAAGTATTACACACTCTTCTCTTTTGTTTGTTATTTTTGGATTTTTACTGTATAAAAGATGTACAGCAGACTCGCTGTAGACAAGCCTATGGAAACAATCTCATTCCTATACAGCAGTTTTCTAAATCTTATTTTTTAATCAAAACCATAAATGAACAGATGTGATCAGATGCAGCCAGCTAACAATTTAAAAGTGCAGAGGTTTGTTGAAAGGGCCTTTTCTCGTAGCACTGAAATGTGTCCACCTTGTTTTTCCCCGTTAAAATACACTTGCAACATCATGCTGGTAGATAGCACTCTGTTTTATTATGCATGTAAACAACATGAGGACAGAGACACAAATATATTTTTGCAGATTTTTGTAGCACAGCTCTAGTTAGTCCTAAAATTACATTAGATTGTAACAGAGAGAGATTATAGAAATAAAGCAAAACATTGTTAAAAAAAATGGGCAGCAAAGCGAAACATTAGTCTTTTTTGACAGTGATTTGGCCTCTTTGGTATTTCTTTAAATTACCACCCATAGACTTTATAAACAGTCATGTGAAAAATAAAGTTTTCACAGTCCTGTGAAAACCTCAGCACACCTTTACTGCTTCACTAGGTAAGTAAACTCCACAGGCCTCAGTTAGCATGGTAAAAGTTGCCAGGAGGAAGCTTCTTGTCTCTAAAAAGAACACGGCAGTATGGCTTAGGTTTGCAAAGCTTCATCTTATCAAGACAAGGTGAAAGATGTTTGATAATGCACAGCGCCATATTTGTTGTAAAGCCAAACACAGCACATCAGCTCAAACACCTCATACCAATTGTCAGGCACGGTGGTGAAAGAGTGATGGTTTGGGCTTGTTTTGCAGCTACAGGACCTGGGTATCCTCCAGTCACTGAGTTGACTGTGAAGTCCTTTGTATACCAAAAGTATTCTAGAGTCAGATGTGATGCCATCTGTCCATGCAAAGCACCAACTACAACAGAATGGCTGAAAAAGAAAGGATTCAAGCTATTGCAATAGCTTGAAGTCTAGACTTCAAGCTATTGCAATACCTTGAATAAGGTGTTTTTTTTAAGTCCACCCTTAAAACTCACCTGTTTAAAATTGCTTATGTTTAAACCTCTGCATGCTTTTAACTTTTATCTGTTACTCTTATTATTGTGTATATTGTGTATTTGTTGTACAGTGTCCTTGGGTGCTCTGAAAGGTGCTATTTTTAAATGAAATGTATTATTATTAGTAGTGGTAGTAGTAGTATTATTAATCGTCAGCTGGTGGTCTTTTCACAATGTCTGGTCATGTTATAGTTCCAAAATAGGTTCAAAGTGAAAGTTGCAGCAGTGGCATCTTTAATGTCACCTCAACATCATTGTTAGCCCTCCTAGTAATAGAAAGTTTCTCTTTGAGAATTAATATAACTATTATCCTATCACAATAACACAAAATATCTCATCTTAAGTGTCACTCAAAACCGCTTCCTCTTCCTTTTAAGTCTTTCTTATTAAGACCTATCCTACCCAGCTATTCAGCTTCAGATGAAAAGACGAGAATTTCTGTATTTGTCAGACTAATATCAGAGACAGGACAGGGACACTATATGTCATTGTAAGAGTCCTATGTGTTAAGATTACCATCCCACATATGAAATACAAATTGGATGTACAAAACAGTAAATAACTAAAAAAGGTTGCTGTTTTTTTTGTTTGTTTGCTTTTTAAATATCCCCAGTAATACTTGTCTCTGTATGTGGAAAATACTTTGTGTTCACTAACACGTGTTAAACATATTAGCTGTCATTGTTAAAAAACAAACGAATAAAAAAAGACACATGTATTTCATTTCTTCTTTGCAACGATCTGATCTGTATTTCTCACAGTCTGGTTATTGCCGTCATCCTGCAACCAGTTTAAACCAGGGACAGGGAATACAGCAAGCATGGTTGCTGTATTTGTTTATGTTGCATAAACAAATACATGCAAACCTCAATGAACTGAAACAACGTCATTAAGGAGCATGGGCCAAATATCCTCCACAGCGATGCGAGAGACTAACAAAGCCATACGGAAACAATCACTTCAAGTTATTGCTGCACTTCAAGTGATTTTCGCAGCAATGAAAGCTTTCCTTTTCACGACTGTAAAAATGTAGCATAATGTTACACGCTACTTTGTGTATTACTGTTTTTTGTATTACTGATTGTGACTGTAAATGTAACAGTAGAGTGAGTGGTGATTGTGGAGTGTCTTGCGGCCCTAGGTGAAAATTCACAATATACACGCTGACGTAATCTTTCTAGTTACGTGTATCAGTGTATGAAAAATGTAAGCCAGTGTGTCCCCTGTGTACAGTAGAAAGCTGGACAACTGGACAGTGTCAACACAGCTTATGTTTGATTTCTTTGGGGACTGTCCCCTCGTTTGGACTTTTTCTGTATCTTTCATCTTCCCTCTTCTCCTCTTGAGTTGAGGTCAAGCGGACTGTGCTTGCCCGTTTTGGACTGATGTGAGCGCGTGCGGACCTCCTGGGTAATGCTGATTGTAAATACTCCCCCGCGGAGCTCTTTTGCCATCTCCTCTCCCTCTTTCTGTGACAAACATTTCTGTGCTGCACGAGCGCACGAACTGTTTAGAGGCATCATACCGGAGGTGCAAATGTCAGCTTTTATAAACGTCACAGCTCTCATCTTTACTTGGAGGCAAGGAGTTGCCCAAGTGCGTTTGATACCAGCTAGCATGTGTTATTCATCCAAACAGACATTATCCATCTCTGTTCGCACCAAAGGAATTTGCACTGATGTAATTTCCCACAGAACTGTCACAATTCATCCTTGTTAATGGTAACTACGGGCGAACATCTCCTCAGTAACCCAGATTCTTAAACTTCCTTTTAAACAGCAACACTCTGGGTTCATAATTACTTGTCGCTGTAAAACTTAATGATAAACATCTCCTTGCATGCACGCTGCGTGTTGCTGATCTTACTGAGAATAAAGCTGGTACATCCTCCTTCTATGCAAATCAATATCAAAGGGAGATGGTGTACAAGCCTAATTTGGTGCCCCCCGTGTGGCTATAGCTGCAGCCTGCAAAAATTGCCTCTAAAACAAATAAGGCATAAATCAGTGCTAGAAGCCTGTGGGTGAGCTGTTATGACACGAAACCCTTTCTCCAAGCTGTATTCACTTGTATGTAGCTAAAACATTGCAAAGATGGCTTTGTATGTTTGTTTTACACTTTCTCTGATGGGTTAGCTACTTGCTGGTGAATTGACACATCCTAAACTCTCTCAGGCAGCTTTCTTGATATTTCTTCAGGAATAGATATCCAGGCTTCTTGAAGCTCTTCTTTGGATATTAACTACCTTCTTGTTCTGTTCTCTGTTATGATGATCCCACACTGCTTCAGTAATGTCTGAGCTCTAGGGAGACCAATCCATCGTGTGTTTTCCCATCCTGATATGCTTTTATACTGTATCAGCACCGTGTTTGGGATCATTGTCTTTCTATAAATGAAGCCACTGTCAATCAGATGCTTTATGCATGATATTGCAAACAAGCTCAAAATCTGATGGTACTTTTCTGCATTAATTCCATCGCTTCCATCAGATCTCCAACACCACTGTTGTACCTCTCTCCTGACCTCCTCTTGCAGTCAGTCTCAGATGGCTTAACAAACAGAACAAATGGAAAAATCGCTTTAAAATGGCCATGCACAAATACTCAGAGAAAAAGCAGTTTTGGAGACAATAGGTCTCCAAAGCGTGGAGACCTATTGTCGAAGAGCACTTTTAAAGAAACAAATTATAAAGAAATAAAGGGGTCGTCTGAATTCTGCACAGTGCTGTATATTATTTACAAATTATTTACAAATTCATACAAATTTGCAAATCTAGTTTGGGTCATCAAATATGTATTTGTCTGTAAGTAATGAGGGCAATTTTTATCCCGCTGAGCCGCTTACAGCTGAACCAAATTCATCTTGCCCTTTAAAAAAACATTAAGGAGCATGTGAGTTCATCAGTGAGTGCCAGTATTATGTTTGCTTTTACATTTAACCAAAAGCAGGCGTCCTACACATGATAATTGTTACTCTTTGTCAAATTTCTAAACGACAAGGCTAAGAATGCTGAAATCTTAGAAGGGAAGGCTATGCACACTCCAATGACAGAAAGCCACAAAGAACGTGAAACTGTGGAAGTATATTTGGATTTAAGTTCAAAGTTCATAATTTTCTGGATAGCTTTAAGATTTTTTTCTTCTCTGTTTTATGAGGGGGCGATCCTAAAAATAACTCACAAAGAAAACCACGAGGCATTTTAGAGGTAAAATCTGTTTAAGCCAGTGGTACTGTAGATATCTGCACATGAGCAGCTAGCATAGTGTTACTGATGGTGATGTGGCAGAATGGGCAATTTGCAGAATCTCTTCCCTGTGGATCTGTGCAGAAGTGCAAGCCTGTGCACTGACTGCTGTCTGGCAAATCCAAAGTGATAAGGCCAGCTCGCATATGGGATTCCTCTTCTCACACCATCGCAATGCATTAGCATTCACAAGTTGAAAATCAGGATAAGGTATCTTTTCCTCCGTTTGCTGTGTTTGCTGCAGGTATAAATAAACAATACAGTTAAACGTTGTCATCAAGAGGTTTGTCTTTGTCTCTGTCCAAAAAAGGAGAGCTTTAAAGCCATATATTGCATCATATTTTTTTCTGTTGTTGGCTCCGTGCTTTCAGTCTCCAGCTGTGAGTAGAAGAGTGAGGGCAACAAGGGCTGCAGATACTGCTGAGTGGTGCTGTGCACAGTCTAGGCCTGTTATCTTCCTGACTAATGGTCTGAGAGTAGCTTCTTACTCTTTAGAGGCTGCATTTACTTAATCACCAAACAAGATAATGCTGCTGTCACTATGTTGGCTCATGTTGGAAGGTGGTGGGCTGTGGTATTGGATAGGCTGTTGTACAGCTTAAAGATGCATGTGGTGGAGCATTTGTGAGTGTATGTGTGTGCCTACTGTTC